TAAGAGAGTGAATTTGCTGGGATTGCTCTCACTGCCAGCTATCAAGGCACAGTTTTATCCCTGTATTGATGCTCAGTCCCACACAATTTTGTTTTGTATTTTTTGTTTTAGGTGTTAAAACTGGCTCAGTTAATTTGTCAGGCACAACAGACAGCAAAATCCATATCAGACCATTCTGCAGAGACAATGGCTACCCAGTCCTTCTTTTCATGGTTTAGATTTACACCATCTGACATGAATGGTTCCTACACAGGCAATGACCTTGATGAAATTGGGCAAGACAGCATCAAAAAAACAGATGAATATTTAGAGAAGGCACTGGAATACTTGTGCCAAATCTTTAAGGTACGTAACATCTTTCTAAGAACTTGTACAGTGTGAACAAGAGTCAGGATTCCTCAAATGTATGTCTGTGTTTCTTGTTCTTTGTGGGGTCACAAAACCATTCAGAGGCTCGTCTTGGCAAATTTTGTTGTTAAAGTCTTCTAGACTCTTGACTTCACTTGACCACTCCAAAACCTTGTATTAGGTCCCCTGAATTTCTAAATATCAAGACTGCTTTGTTTCAAGTGGCCACTCTTTTGGACTGTATAGTTTATACCAAACCTGTTCCTTTACTTGGCCCTGTCCTCATGTTTAAAAACAGGCAAGGCACTTCTAAAAACAGTCCAGTGTCTTCTAAATGTAGAGCTCTAGAAGTTGAACAAATACCTGCAGCTATGGATGAACAGTTAAGGGAACAGATGAATTTCTCTGCAGCCACACTCCCTTACACAGCACTGACCTAGGAGACAGCTGTTTGGTACTGCTTGAGAGCTAAGGGACATACAAACCAGAACACCTTTCTTGGGTTAACCTGGAGACTTTTATCTCCTTTTAATGTCTAACCAAGGTGCTATTAAGCAGTTCTTGGTATCTGAGCTGGCTTTCAAGGACTTCCAGTGCTAATGAGTTTGTGAAGTGAGAAATAAATGAAACAGGGGGGTAGATGAAACACCTGCTTTAGAACTCTGTTATTCTTGAGTAGCTGAGCGAAGCCCAACTGACCCAGATGATGATGAAATGTGGGACAGCTCAAGATGAGAATGGAAAAAAACAACTTCCAGACTGCATTCAAAGCGAGAACGGCCTCATTCTCACACCCCTTGGCAGGTACCAGGTGAGAGAAAAAACATTCCATATCACCCCCTCAGTTGCTCTTGAAAACACAAGTTGCCCTTCTGCAGTGAAAAAAAAAAATGCAGCTTACCTGGGGGTAAGAGACGTGCCAGCCTAAAGGTGTACAAGATAAGGAGTTTGTTTTCCCCCTCCTAGATCATAAATGGCCTGCGGCGGTTCGAGGTGCAGTACCAGGGAGATGCTGAGCTCCAGCCCATCCGCAGCTACGAAAACGCCACCCTTGTCCGCCTCCTGTTCCGCTTGTCCTCGGTGCTGAACGAAAGGGTAGGGACAGCACTGCCTCCTTCTGTGCTTTCCCTTGCAGATTTGAGTTCTTCACTGCACATGTACATACATAACACTTTCTTCTTGCTCCGTCTCCTTTATTGTGGTCTAGATGGGTATTTCCTAACAGTACCAGGCTTGCCTCTGTACCTGTAGTTCTGCTTTTCCTCCACAAAACATTTAAAATGTTATTTATTGAAGTATTCTTCATGGTTGATGAACAGTGGAGTATCATTCAGAATGTTTCTCAAACGGGAAAAGCAAATTCTTTCCTTCCTATAGGTATGACAAACACAAGGCCAAGTCTGCACTAAAGCAGTTCTGCTGTTTAAAGTGCATTTTGATGCCCCCTATTTCCTACAGTCCTCATCCTATAAATAAAATAGGTTAAATGAATTAGTTACTTTATGACAGTAGTTGCATTACAGCACTAATGTCTTAATGTTTCTTACCTCAGTTTGCTGATCAGATGGAAGTGCTTTGCTCCAGGGAAGATTTTGTTGGCAGACTTTGTCGCTATCATCTCATCAACCCCCACCTCGTACAGAAAATCAGATACAGTCCCATGGTGAGGGACAGAACGAGCCAGAACTGGGGACCAAGGATCAGTCTGAGGTTTTTGGCCAGCTACAGGACTCTCATTTCTTTGCTGATGATCTACTTCCTTGCATCCTGGTTTTACATTGGGCCAGTGGGCTGCACATTCATTATCCTAATTGGGTATTTTCTTTATGCTGTTATAATGACGTTTTTCTTTGAAGGATGGAAACCACATGAACACTAGTTTCCTTCTCCTGGCTTACACTTGCAAAAATAAATGTTGTAAGGATGAGTCTGGGATTCAATGACTAAAATGTTTTAATTATATCAGATCTTACTAAAGTATTTTTTAATACTAAAGTTAACTTGAGTTTTATAAACAATGATGTGGTCTGGTGGAGAAAATCAATGTAAATTTTATTTTTATAAAAGTATTCCTAGAGAATCTAGTGAATGAGTTGTTTGGTTTTTTTGTTTGGGGGGGAAGAATGAGCCATCAGTATTTATAAAACTGAAATAAACCATGCCATACAGAGAAATATTTTTGATTCAGCAATAACTGCTTTCAAGCCTCTTACACTGTTCTAAAGCAAGAATTGACTGTAGGACCTCCAAAGCATGGTTACACAAGGTAACAGAAATAGCAGTGCACACAGAAATTTATAGGAAGTTGCACTGATATTAAAAAACTAAAACACAGAAGGTGGGACAAAGCAGCAAGAGTGACATTTCATAGCCCAGTGCTGGGCTTAAGCCTCCTGGTGCCTGCCTGAGGCCTCCCCAGCCCTGACAGGTTTATGTCTTCTACCTCCATGAACCACTTCATGTTGTTTGCATGTCTTCTGGAGCCACTGTACTCATTGGGCACTAACACTTGCTTAGAAAAGTTACTGCTCTGTTTCCCCTCAAACCTTACTGCAACTCTAACCTGGTAGTTTTGGGCAACAGATAGGAACACTCCTCTCTTGGAGATCAACAAATACTTTGTTGTCCGTTTCACCTGACACGAAAAGGGCAAGAAATACCCTTTTGTTAAATCACTGCTTAAGGAATCCATCAGTTCCCATGTAAGGCAGCTCTGCAGCATTACTCCTGTAAAATATTAAGGACTGCACACAGCAGTGAGATAAGGAGAGAAAACATTTACTGAAAACACGAGAGCACCCACACAGGTGCACTGTAACATTCACAGCAGCATCTGACTCAGGCTCTCCAACACCCATGGAGCTCAGCTCCATCCCTGCCCAGCAGGGGGGAGCTCATTAACAAAGTGGCACAACCCAGGGTACTACATAAAAAGCACATGTTTTCAGAGTCTACCTGGTGATTTCAAAACATCCTCATCCAAAGATCAGCTTCCAAAGGCAACTCAGCCAGGAAAATACCAAAAAATACCAACCATTTTGTGCTCACTAAAAATATATGCCACATTAATGCACTCATGAAAGAGGCTAATCAAAGCAAAATGAGGTTCAGTAAGAAAAACACCTATAAGCTAAATGTAAATAAACATCCAAAATGATGCTGTAGGAACCAGAGCATTCAGTACCATGAAAGTAAGCCTGCAATAACCATTTTTTACTAACAAATCCATCAGTGTGCCTCAGAGCTGCACAAGGGTTGCATCTCACCATGTTCCACGCCAGTGTAAGAGAAGATACTTCCTACTTACATTGTCCTGCTGCATTGATTTGAGCATTTGATACATGAGGGCCTTGGTTTTTGTTAACTTCTTTGCTTAAACTGCCCCTCCCCACTACTTCCATAATCAGCTCTGTGGTCGCAGGACTTGGGTCATAATTTCTCTCTTTTTTACCAGTTAAAAAACTACATCTGTCATTTGTAGATACCATTACTAACCTTTTGACCAGATCTTCCAGTTCACTCAGAGGACAGTGAAGGATAGTGTTGCATAGAACACAAAGCCATTTATGATTTTGTCCCCTAACCTGCAAAGCCTGTGAGTTTTCACTTACCACAGAACACAGTAACCATCATCCAGTGGCACAACAGAACTGGTATCTAACATGGGAAGAGCAGTATAATGTCTAACACAGGAATAATAATAAATTTATTACAATAGAAACAAACAGATAATGCATTAGTTCATGTACAAAATACTGATAGCACTCTGCTGCCTCAGTCAGTGCTTACTAAGTACCCACATTTAAAAACATCCTAAAACTGATGACACCACACAGATTTATGGAGGTCATAGCAATTTCTTGACACTACTGTAAGAGAGCCCAGCTACTCTTCAAGGTTTGCTGCACAATACAGAGAGATGGGGCAGGATATAATGGGAACATCTGATATTTGAAATTCTGCACCAGGAAATCAAGAGGGAGCAATTTATAAGCATGGTGGAAATACGAAAAATGCATGAAATTAAAGTTACTTGTGGCAAATGTTTTCATTAGAAGTGCCCAACAATAAGGCAGCTGATGACTGGCTTGAGTGCCCATCATTGCTCAAGACACAATGTGCTAATTGTCAGTTCTACTCCTGAGCTGTTGTTTTTTGCCTTTTCTGTTCAAACAAACTGATGTAGTGTAGAAGCATTTTCCCTGCACTGCATCAACTCCCAAAGGAAGCCAGATGCCTCAGAAAGACTCTTAATAAAAGAAATCTAGCTGTGAGCCTGCTGGATTGACTGGTGTCACTTGGCCTTTATACTGTTGGTTTTTCCCTCCACACCTTTACACACACATTTACTGAATTCATAGAGGAAGTCAGTGTGCACATTAGTATCTCTTTCCTTCTCATCAGCCTCACTCTTCTGGAGTGAGAAATGTGATCCATGCTAACCAAAAACCGTTTACACAAAGTTGCATTTAAAATAAGCTATAAAATACTTTTTTTGCTCTGTTTAGTTCCACACTCCCACCCCAGGTGTAATTATCCAGATTTATCTCAGATATTTGAGGGATGCCTTAAAAGGCTGTAATTTATCCCATCTCTGGGCAAAGCTAAAAGGCAAAATGATTCCTACAACCACTGAGAAGTTTGCAAGCACATTCTAGTTGGAGCTAATTTATTTCTGGGGCAGTATGAGGTCACAAAACATACAGTGTGAAAGGAATACTGGCACTGAGCAAACTTTGAAGCAAATTAGGACATTTCCTCCCTACTCCCTCTTATACCAGACTCCCTGATGGAAGTCCACAAATAATTTCTTCTCTAAGAAGACAATAAAAACTCATCTGAAATACAGTCTCAAGAACCATATATACACATTTTGTATATTTGAGAATGCTGGCAAAAGTCCACTGAGGCAGAAGATAAAAAGCATGAAGGCTAAGTCTAACATCAGGCTCTCTACTGAACCTGACACCTAGAAACAAAACAACATAAGGCTTCTTTCTTCTGAAGTAACCTCCCCGAACTGTGGAATTCCAGTGGCATGTGGAAGAGGCCAGCTGTTGAGACCTTTTTTCTTGCTTCATGATTTAGAAAGTGAGCTGTTACGCAGCAGAGAGGCAGGCCTGGCGAATGCTTTGTGCCCAGGTGTTCAAGAGTGCTGTGACTGAATGCTTGTCTGGAAGTTGTAATAGTTTTGAAGTCATGTATCGATACACTGACTGCAAAAAGGGGTTGGCTGCTGGAAAAAAAAAGATAACAGATAAAGGAAGTTATAATAAAAAAGTATATTTAAAAAAATTTAAAAGACAAGAGTAACATGAAGTGTTCACACTTCCCCCCTACTACCACATACACATGCCCAACAAATGTCATGCCAGCAGCCTCATACCATACTGTCTGGGGTTTTTTATCCACAGAGGGCTCTGATCTGGATAATCTGCTGGAACGCTGAGCTGGAGTGGTGGGACATTTGGAAGATTCTTGTCATCTAGGATGCAAACACACTTCCCATTAGAACAAAGCATGCCTTGCTGGATGGAAGGGTTTTGTGCATAATACAGCTTATTTTCTAGCCTCTGAACCCCAAGGACAAACCTGACCGTACATCTTTCTTACTGAAAGGAAATCTCATTGCTCACTTTACCAACACTCTTAAACTTTTGGCAGAAAAGCCTGGCAAACATAGCTCCATCTCTTACACACTTCTGCACCTTGCCATTCTCACCATTTCATCAGCTGAACTTCACCAAGTTAGACACCTCATTTTTGAAAATTAAGTGCCTCATGTATCAATGCTCAGGACAAAACCAATCCTGACACTTCAAAGGAAGCAAGGGAGGAAAGAATCTATTTTCCCTACTGGAATTCAAGAACAAAACAAGTAAACAGACTATACCACTTCATGATTATTCAGCTAGGATTAAAAAAAAAAAATAAATCTGAATTAATTTCTCAAACACACACCATTTCAAGTGATCATTAGTACAAACTGAAATAGACCATCCCAAAAATTAACTCACCATTTCTCTAGCTCTGTCCTACTTGATGAAGGCTCAACAACTCACATATCAGATAAGGTCAAATCAAGAATCAAGATTTTGCTAGCAACAAGTGATTTTCTACACACTGAGGTTACCAATTGCAACTTCAGTGCAGAGAAAGGATCAATCAGTGTGAATGAAATCCCCAGGAGCACCCTGAAACAGCCTGTGCAGAATGTTGTGATGATGCAGTGCCATGATAAGTATAGATATAAGTACAGATATCATGCAGAAGTCACAGGTTAGCCAGATTCAAGACTGTTTCAAATTCCTACAGTCAAGCTCAGCGCTTCTTTCTGAATGCAGCCCTTAGCATCTCCTTGCTTACCTAGCTTGCATATGAGATGAACTGTGCCATTATTGCTGCAGTGGGAAGGGTCCAGGTTCACCAAGAATTTAGGATTTAATCTTGCAACTTCTCCTTGTAAGACATTTGGAATGGTCTGCCTTTCATCCTCTTCATATTTCCGTTTTCGAGGGGAAGCAACTGGGGCCCTGTGTAAAGCACAGGCCACAAAAGGACCAGGTGAAAATGGATTTGTCAAATACTTTACAGGTCACAAAAGGAAAGCTATAACTCACCCCCGTGCAAAAACCCCTCTGTTCTTTTAACAGCTTCTACAAATAACCATTCTTCCCCAAATAATGAATGCTCAGGACAGACAGCAGGTGGGTGATACGTACGTGATGGGCGGTCCATGGATTGCGGTCATGGCCGGCATAAACGTTCGGTACAGGGAATGGTTGAACACTGGGGAACGGATGTTGGCCAAAACAGCATCCAGCAGTGGCTGACACAAGTACTGCTGTTTGGTTGGGGGCACTGGGGGAGGTGGTGGAGTAGGCTGAAACACAACAGAAACCCTTTGTCTTTTAATCATCACCAAAAAAGAAATGTCTTCCGTTAATTCTGCAAAATTTTGCAGCGGTAAACTTCCAATGCGTGAAATGCAAATGATTCTCCAAACTGCATACATTAACAGTAAGGGAGGAGAAAACAAACAAGCAAAAAGACATCTGCTGCTTTGGTTTAGGAAGGCAGTCCTGAAATCAGCCACAAAAGTTCACTGAAAAAAGTATTTGAGTCTTGGCACAAAGCACAAGAACTTGAAAGTTCAGTTAAAAGGTACATACAGGTGACTTGTGTGAAGTAAATGCCCATTTTTTCCTGTTTTCCTATTTTGTCCAACCTTACTCGAAGCCTTAACAGCATGAGTCACAAGAAATGCAAAAAGTTACCTTGCCTTTCACAAATTAATTGCTTATCTTTACTAGCACAAAGCCTTACATACCACAGCCATATCATTTTTCAGCTTCTCCAGAGCAATTTCGCATTTCTGCAGCGTCTTCAGGGGGCACCTGTGGAACAGGAGAAACTTCATCACCACAAAATGGTCCCCTTAGCTGAAGTGTTCCTGCTATATGAGCCCCACAGAGCCTCCATGTAAACGTGGCTGGATGCTAAACAACAAATTTCTGAATAGCTGGGAAAATTAATGCCCAGCCAAAAGGAAAGAATTACCGTTTTGAAGGGTCAGTCAGAATATCCAAGAGACTCTTCATTTTACTCAGGTCCTTCTTCCTGTCTGAAATAGTACCAGAGACATAAACACTCACTACAAGGATAGCTTCAATTCTTGCAGACAGAAATACAATATACTGTTAAAAGTACATAATTTCATGTATACATCAGTCAACACTGAAGACAGTAGCATGGACCACAGATCTTTCACCTACTCATAAATATATCCACTGCATACGCTCTATGTGTCTGAAAACCATCAGAAGTAAAGGAAAACTCATGAAAATTTAAGAACAAGGATTTTGCCCACTCTTCACAGTAAAATCTTTAGCTATAGGTAAGAAAGAGCAACAAACTTTCTGTGACATTTTTAATCCCTGGAATAGAAACCATGACATAAGGCAAAGTACTGCTTCTTTCAGCAGAAGAGAGAGCTGACAGAGAGAAATGCATGGCTAAATATAGGGAACCTCACCTTCATTTTTATCTATTTTATTGATCATCCTCCGGAGTGGCTCAATGTACTTTGACAGCTGTTTGAGTTTTTCCAGATACTGTTGCTCCTCTGACTGACCAGAACTGGCTGGACTCATAACAGAATTTGGATTTCCTGGCAAGAAGGAAGACTGCAGGTCACAGGGTGATAAAAGATACTGCAGAACATTATTCTCACATTTCAGAATCTAGATCTGAAACATGACACTCTCAAAGTGTAGCTCATGTCAAACATCCAAATCCACAACTGGATGCCCTCCATAGTTCAAGTGCTTGCCCAATCCTCTCCTCTTTGTATAGAAATATCATGTTCTATGGACTGAACAGCAATTCCCAGGTAATACCATTTTTTTCTGAAAAGTTCCAAAGTTCCATATACCCATTTTCTAGGGCCTCATTTTGGCTTCACTCTGATGCATTAAACATTAAATCAACACAATGAATTTGCTGCAGTTTTCCTGAAGTGGGTGCTTTCCAACCTGCAAAGCACACAACTCTGGTGTGAGAAGGAGCCAGTATGTTACCTCCACTCTCAGTATCAGAAACTGCTTATTGTAGCTGGGAGGGAGAAGAGCAAAATGTCACAGTACACCTGGGGAAGTGTTTTGGAGCAAAGCAGCTGCCTGTGATTAAGTGGTTACATCCTTTACAACTCTATGCTGTTGCTAAGGGTTCCTTCCTGCATGGAATTAATGAACTTGCTCCATTAAATTGAGTATCTATTTTCAAAAGACTAGGGAGAAAAACCCCATTACATATTTCAGTGATGAGAAAAGAGGTTTCAGTTGATTTTGACTTGAGGTACCCAAGCTGTTGCGTTATGTGGTGCATGTGACATGTTCACTACTTGCAATGCCAGCTGCTTTGTGGAGCTCTTTAAAGTGCCAAAAATAGCAGGTTTCCTAGTAACTACTACAGTTACCAAACCACAGCCCAACTCATGCAGTACAGCTCTCAGATCATTTACCTGGAGTGTTTAGAGGACCTGGGGATGGGACACTGAAGTTCTGAGGTGTTCGTGCAGCTGCTGGGCTCTGGGATGGTTGTGGAGATGGACTGGGGAGAAAGCTGCTGGGTGAGGGAGCAGGGCCAGAACTGAAAAACAAGCACATAATCAAACCTACCAGAATCTGACAAGGAAGGATCACCAGCCTGTGAGCAGATATGATTTTAGTAAGCATTGTTGTGGCATTCTGTAGTTCTGTCTTGGTGAGGATTTCATACACAGCTTCTTTATTTAAAGAGGGGGTTTTCAGAGTGTATCCAGCACAATCCCACCTGTGCTCTCAGTGCAGTTGGAATTGAAATTCATTCACTTCAGTGGAAACAGAGTAAGATATATACTGAATGCTTCTGAAAACCTCACCCTTATGGCATTAACAGAAGTCCTCAGAAGCTGCAATGTGGCTCACCTGACATTTGAATTTGGCTGAGAAGTGGGCTGGCCTGGCTGAGGTGAGGGCTGTGGCTGTGGTGGTGGAGGCATTGACTGGGGTGTTTGAGCTTGTTGGACAGGAGATGGGGATGACATCATGGTAATATTGTTCTGGCTGACCTGAAAGGTGGGAAAAGATAAGATCAATAACAACAAAAGGGAGTAGAGGATGGGAACCTAACTAAAAGCTTTACCTGTGGAGAGAAGCGGATCCTCAGGCCTACAAGAAATGAAAGCATTAGTTTCCTTTTTCCCCCATAAGGACAGTCCCACCTGTATCACTCTTGAGGCTCTCAGGGCAGTACTTCATATCAACTTTACTAGAAATAACCACTGAAATTGCACATAATTTGAACAACTAATTGTTTTTCACTTCCCAAACCATCATATTGCAATTAAAATGTCAGAAGTACCATGTAAAAACCCTGTACTTTATTAGAACTAAAGAAGAGCAGGAAGAAAAGACAGTTCTCACTTGAGAATTAAGAGTCATAAAACCCCCTCCTTATTTTGACCTTTTCATTACAGTCTTCAAAGGTCTGTCAGACTTGACTGTAGCATCCCAATTGGTTTTCTTTAGGAAGAAGGAAGAAAAACAATTAAGTAAGCCATATCAGCAACATCTTGTTTAAATATTCAGCTTTGAAAAACTGTGTGAGATAGAAACACTCCAAACTGAACACCTGTGTGGAAAAAAAAATGAAGTAGTTTTCTGACCTTTGGAGAGTGCTGAGGTGTGCCTGAAGGACAAAGAGATGAATAAGAGCATTTCCAGAACAGCACCAAACTCTGGGTAACAACTAAGTTTATTCTGTACACTCTACAGTGCCAGAGCTAGATGATGCTCAAATTTGAGCAACTTCTCACATTTGTTCTAATACACATTTTTTCCCTTGATCACTTAAAACCAAACAAGAAAACCTGTACAGTGGCCTGGAGCATGATACAGTGATGAAGATGTTAAGTGATCATGTTTGTGTAAGGCACATGCAGAGTTCTCGTGACCTGAGGCTATAAATAAGCACATACAAAGATACATCATGGCTCAGCAACCTCTGTGTCCATTCTGTAAGTCACTGATTAGCATCTTTATGAATTAACAATTCTCTTTCCCTCAGTCTAAATCAATTTTAAGCAAAGGTCACAGTAAATCCACAAGTCCCAGACATGTCATTGGTGCTGCAAATCGGCCTTGTCCTTCACCCTCTTGTTAAATACCCATTAAATCATCCATGGATGTGATGTTTAGCATGTTTTAAAGGTATCATATGGTCTACTTTTGTATGTACACACTGAATACAACAGGAAATGCTTCGATTGGAATTTCACACTGCAGTTCTGCAAGAGGCCTCATTCCACAAAAGACCAAAATAAAATAGGGCATGAACAATCCCCAGCTCTGTGCAAAACTAGGCTTGAAGATGCTAGTTTATCAGCCATTAAAGAATAGTTTAAAATCAAATGCAGCCTGACATACTACAATGGGGTTTTTTCAACCTTCAATAACCCCAGTACCTTTACAACCCCTGCCACGAAGATAAGAGTTAGAACAAGTGAGGCTGAAAAGATGTTTAAACCAGCTACTATATCTTCCTTTTCTCCATAATCAACAAGCACTGAGGCTGTGCTTACTGTTACACATAAGAAGTAGATTCTTTAACAGTATTTGTCTCCTCAACAGCTGGAAAAGCATTTTTGGGATTGAAAAGCATAGCCTGCCTCCCATAGAAAGCAAGCAGCTCACCACTGTTTGGAAGGAAGCTGGGATGGACACTGCAAAAAGCATTCCCTGACTTCTTACAGGTCTATTTAACATGGTATTAAACAGCAAATAATTTAGAGCTTGGATGCTGCACCCATTTTTCCTCAGGTCAAACTAAGACCACTTTGAGTGGTTCATCACTTCCTGAAAATCAGGTCCCTTTTAAGTGTCTCAAGTTGGTTACAAAGGATTACTTCAATCCTTATGTCTTGGGAAGGAAGGAGAAAGGAGTTTCATTAGGTTTTTTGCCAGATTTAAGCTTCTGTATCTACTTGAACACCAAGGACCCTTCACATTAATTTACGAATGGTGCAGAAAAGCGAAGAAAAGGACATGCAGCATCTACTGTGCACATAAGCACTGAATGAATTGAATGTTTTTGCATTGTCCCTTCTCATTCAAGTACATGCACAGTCAAACAGCTTTCCTTCTTACAACAGGTTTGCTCTCTGCCAGCTTCATTTGAGCATACCAAAGGCCAACATCTAACAGTAAGCAAAACTGTGACATTTTCAGAAATCTGCATTCAGAACTGGGCAATTCTGAACTTACTGCCTTGCTTTGCTTTGACAGCAGTTCATTTGCTACATAATAATTTCAGATGTCTTTTTGCAGAATAGATTTTCAGGTTTAGGTTTTTACACTGTTTCCAGGATATGGATTAAGATTACAACAATTTAATGAAATTTCAACTCCTAGGTAATGCTCTTTTCAGCTGACTCAGAGTAAAAAGAAGGCTTAGAAAAAAACCACCAACAAAAAAACCCCACCACAAAAATATCTATAAACCCAAAAGACAAATAAAACTTTCCCTCCAGAGCTTTAACTCCACTGAACTCATTTAACTCCAGAGTCAAGATGTGGTTACTTATCATTTGTACACCCTCCATCTTCAACAGATATAAAGAAATGCAACTACATATTTTTTCACTGAGGGATATGAATTTTTGCCCTACAAGCATGTTCATGGTCAGCCATGACAGCCCACTGAACATATCCATGTTCTGTGACTCTACAGTGTCCTGATCATGGCACCAAGCCCTAATCTTCTGAAGTCCTGGCCAGGAGATATTTAGGCTTGCCTGATAAAAGTTTGCATTTACATCCACTAAATCAAAGCTATTCTTAATGTTCAGAGCCCACTATGTTGGAAGATAAGCCAGCCATAAGGCCTATCTCCAGTTTGCTGAGTCTCAGGCAAGGACAGCACTCAGGAGATAAGGCTGGTGAGAGCTTTCAGAAGCTCCCAGTAGCAAGAGTGTGCAAATATGCAGAAGCCAAAGGCAGGGAAAGGAGACTGCAACAAGGAGCTGATGGGTAGTAATGAGGAAATTTTTAGCCTGAAGGAAAATTCCAGAAAGCATTTACAGTACTGTAAATCATTGCTCATGAAAAATTTCTTTTCTTCTTCTGCCTTTTCTAGTTGTTCAGCCCTCTACATAATTTTCACAATCCTTGGCCTCCTACTGAGAGAGTTCCTTGATGACCAGTTCACTTGGTGTTGGAAATCAAAGCTCCTCAATAACAATGACAGTGCTAAAAGATCAGCCTATGGCACTGAATGCTTGAACCAGAGGTCTTTTTTTATGGGTCAAATATCAAATATAAATGAAACTAATACTTAAATACCCATGGGAAAGCCTCACGATCAAACCAAATATTGTATTTCACATGGGAGATGATTGTCTCTCTCTGTATAAACTGCTACACCAACCAAAGCTCAGAGTAGATTCTCCTCTGACTCCACAGCTATGCCCAGGTTTGTCAGTTAACATATAAACACTGTCCTGGATTGAAACGACCATCCAACTTAAACCAGAAACAACAACAGATGTGTTTGCCTAGGACTACAGAATCTTTCTGGTCACTTTAACTACTTCTGCAAATTCCTGAGAAGAAATGCAGTACTCTGGCCTCATGCACTTTCCAGCAACAGCTGGACAGGTGCTACCAGCCTGTCTCCACAGGTACAAGTGGAATTCTTCTGGCAGTTGCTCCTACACAACCATGAAAGAAAAGAACAGCTTGGATTTTTCTGGGTCCCTGATATTATGCCAAGGAGCTACTCCAACTGAAATGAGCCCCAGTTTACTAGTAATGAAGAAAGCACCTGTACAGAGCCTGAACATATGACAAGCAAGGTCCTGGTCACAACTCAGCCAGTAAACTGCAGTGCAGACTTGCAACACTCTCATAAATCCACACTCATAGAGCGAGGACCTTTAATTTGAGACCCGAATCAATTCTGAACACGGAAAAGTTTGAAATGTTAAAATAAAGACCTACGCCACTTTAATAATGCTTTATTTGATATCCCAAGCTCTCAGTAAACCTATTATTTAAAATGAAAAGGGATCCATAAAAAAACCCAACCTAAACAGCCCAACACCCTGAGAAACACCAGCAAGTTCGTTGTTTGGTGCAAAAGTGAAGGTCCCCTTGCTTGAAAGCCAGTGCTACACAACCAGGCAGTGAATCCCTGACACAATGTGCTTTGACTCAGTAAATACCTGTGGCATTTGCTGTCCGCCCAAGGGAATGGAGCTTGGTGCTGTAGCAGACACAGCGGTGGTAGGCGGGAACCGTGGTCTGATTTGCATCCCACCTCGGGCCATAGGTGCGGTGATCATCTTTGAGGACAGAGGGACAACAGACAAAAGTAATCGCAAAACAAGAAATGCAGTGCACTGGCAGGATGAGAAGCACATGCAACCTCCAGGAATTAGGGGGAGGGGGAGCATGAAGGGAAGGTTAGTGAGCTTTTCTCTAAAGGTTAACCTGACATGCTGGCTTAGAAACCAAACTCCTTTTTATAACCCTTCTATCTGTTTTCAGCAGGCACCTAATGAATTTTAGTCATCTTCAGAGACCAATGTGTAGACTCAGATTCGTGGGTTGAGGGTTGACTGTGCTGTCATTTCCATCAATGGCTTTTCCTAAATTTTGCCTGACATCTTGAATTTCTAGAATTCTTGGAAATAAGTGCTCTAAGATTGCTGTCTGTGCTCCATTTAAGAAGCTCTATAATGCCATAGGTTTCTGATGTGCTTTCCCCCACTGTGGACTCAAAAGCTTTAGCAGTATTCGCATGTGCCCCCTTTGCTGTAAAACACTTTGTCACACAGTTCAACAGCAACTGTCAGCACAAATGCTCCACAGTGGGCAAAACTCCAGACCAGCCTAACCTATGACAGCATAACAATGCCAGACAACAAAAAGGACTTCTCGGTTTGATGAGGCTATTTCCTTTCTTTTGTAACTCACAGAATAAGTCAAATATATCCTTTTGATTTCCATATCTTTGACAAATACCCATTCCTCTATTACTAAGCTGGGCTAAATTATTCTGAGTCCATAATCTTCCTCAAGCACAGTTAGATTCTCCAGCTGTAAAGACTGAGCACACCCTAAAGAACAATCATTTAGGATAAATGATGGAGGTTAGCATTAGAATGAATTTCTTTAAAATAGTATTAGGACTATGCTACTCTGAGGTGTCTAGAAGTCCCTTTCAGAACCATCAGCCTGCAGGGGTCGTACAGATTTAATTTTATATACATATGTATAGCCCTCCGTTACTTAAGATTTGATATTCCACTGAGAATTTGATATATACTGAGAATTTACAACAAATACACCATATTTTTGAGATTGTATTCAGGTAACTTTGGCAGATTCACTTATCAGTAAAAGAGTGTTTGGTACTCTAGAGATCTACAATAAAGTTCTCTGGGCTACCTTTTTTTCTAGCTTACATGTTACCAAGGAACCCATGCAGTTCTAACTAACCTACAAGTTCATGTAATCTCCTTCCTCTAAATGGTTTGGGGGACTCCTGCTTAGTGTTCTATGTAAATGGACTGAAGCAGCCAGCAACATGTTTCTAAAGAGTCAGAGAATGCATGTGCTTACAATTGTTAAAAATAAATAAAATTAAATACAACATAGCAAGACTGAAAAAGGAAAGCAATAACTGATAAAGAAAATAGTGTCAAATTCAGCACAGCTGTTAGTTCACAACATCAGAGCAATGCAGTCCCTTTCCATCCAGGAAAAGAGGGATGGTCAGAGACAGGATTTCAAAAGAGAAACGAATGGGAGCGCTTCAGACATCACACACACATGCACACGTGCACACACAGCATGCAACAGCCACCACGAGCAAACACAACAACCCAGCACTGCCACAAAGCACAGGTGGATGCTATGAAGTGCAGTGAAGAGCTACAGTATCAACATGAGAGCTGGTGAAGCAACACAACCCTAACAAAACCAAAAAAAAAAAGGGGGAAATTGCTAGGGGGGAAAAACCCCCCCAACGTATCCTTCCAGGCACAATCACCCCATCTTGGACCCTCGTGAACACACACGGACCTCTGGAGCGTGTGGAATCCCAGGGATGTTATGGTGACCCACATGTCCCATCTTGCTCCTGTTTCTCATGCCACACCACCAAAGTGTGAAGATTTAATTGCTTCCACTGAGGCCAAGGAAATTAGAAGCACATTCACAGTTTAAGTGTCTGGCAAACCACCCAACACCAACAGGACAAACCCCAATTCAAAGGCTTTCAGCTGCTTGTAGTATTGCAGTTGGTCAAACGTGCACATGCACACATTTTTGGGTTTGATATTTTTGTATTTTTTGAAATGTGTGCTTTCAAAAGGAAGTGTATATATAAAATGGCACTAATTCCACTCTCTTAACAAAAGTAATCTATTTTTCCCCATTACATCTACAGAACCTGTGATGCTTTGACAAAGGAGTCAGGAAAGGGGGTTTGTTTTATGCAAAGCAATATATCCATAAAGGAGATGTTCTTGTCCGTCTAAAACAAGAACACAGTCAGAAATGTTCAAGTACTTTTGAAAAAGACTTTAACTGAACACAAATCCTCCTCCACAAGTGAAACTGATTTTTATGGCATAAAATTTCTAGATTCTGTAAACTGAGATAAAGTAGAGAGCAAGAAGAGGAAGAGAGTCTCCCTCCAAAGTAAGATACAAACCCTACTATTTGATGTAAATGAAGTGGAATATAACAATTAGAATCCTGAACTTGTAACTTTCTTTCATCTAAAATCCAAACATTCAGAATTCTGTAAATATACACAGCTTTTAGTGAGCATATGTACGTTCAGTACCACTGTCACTCCACTAAAGGCAGCCTGGATTTTCAAAAAGCAACAGCCACTCTGCATCCTGAGCACCTGAAGGAATTGCACCAGAACAGTGACTTAAACTTTATTAATACTTAATTCCACTTGATTATATGGGTTCTTTTCTTGGTGTTGCAAGCTCTTGTGTAGCTCTCTGGTCACTAGGACACTCCTACTATCAGCTTCCTCATGAGTTACACGCTCACAAGGACCAGACACCTGAGCAGGGTAACGTTGACCTGCATGGTGTCATTATAACTTCAGAGAAGAACTTCAAAGCGAACCCATGTTTAAACCTGGGATTCCTTTGACTTTTATGCACAGAGGATGTACAGAAATTTTATGGAAAAGGAAAAATACAGACATATCAAGCAAAATCCCCAGTTGGAAAGTCCCTAGAAACTATGATTAAATCTAACAAGCAAAGATTAGGATAGGGGTTGTTTATAACAAAAGCTTCCCTGGACCAAATGAAGAAATCAAGGCAGATTTATTAAAAATGCTGGTGCATGTACTAAAAATGTACTAACTGCAAAGCAAAAATCTACTTTAAAAGAAACTTCTTATAAATTAAAGAGAATTCTTATACACTCTCAACACTGAAGCTGCATTGTAACATTATAGACAGCCACAATCTTAAAAGTAAGTATTAGATACAGAAAATATTTCCACAAGTACAAGAAACCCATTTAATTATTAGACTTCACAGTGTTACATGAATTTTAGTAGACTCATATTGCAATGGCATGAACATAAATGGAGTAAAGCCTCTGTATGTGGAATATTCTAAATTCCACATGTGACAGATAAAGAGCAATCCCCGAGTTTACTACACATGACTGAATAAAGCTGCAATACAAAACTCACTGTCAACCGTCTTATCACCCAAAACTTTTCAAATGCACTGTGCTGTTAAGCCACTGGCATATGAAGTCACTAAATGGGGCAAGAATTAAGTTGACTCTGCATAAACACAGTCCATCTGCTTTGGAGTTGAAAAGAGCACCATTTAGTTAGTAAAAAGAAGAAAAGTCAGAGTCTCCTTCCAGTCAGCCTAAGTCCCTGTAGTGCCACCTGGAAATTATTTAAGAAACAAACATGAGTTTTAATTCACATTTCAGCTGTAGAAAGAGAATTCTCCATTGCTGCCAGTACTGTACTTACCACTGCATCAGCTTTTACATGTTATGTTGACTCAAGCCAAAGGACCAATGGAGAAACAGAACTTAGCCACCAGCAAGGGTGTGGGCCACATGAGAGTTATGATGGCACAAGACACTATCCCTGATAAAAGTCTGGGAGATTTATGTTAAAGAACCAATTGCTATCACAGTCCACATAAAAACCTTCCAATGGTCTTACTGAACTTATAATATTACTTGTGCACTGAAGGGAAAATGGTGCATGAAGACATGGAATGTCTGGGTATACAAAATGAACTCTGCCATTAATCCTAGTCAGCCTCATTTCATCTGTCTGCCTGTCTCTTCATCTACAAAGTGGTGATAATTGTACTTACCCATGTCTGTAAAATACCTCAATATGAAACACTACAGAGGTAAGCCACGAAAGACTTTCACACTCTTGGGGAAAATGGGATGAAAGGTTCAGCTTAAGCCATTCCCCATTTTTTTCCCCCCATGTCTCCTTCATCCCAGACACACATCAAGGAACAACCACTGGGGCTACAAGTGTATTACAGGATAAGAAAACTGTGTTAGACAAGAAGCTTTCACCCAGCACTTGTTTTGGTTGTTTTTTTTAACGTAACTCTGCACTTGTGACACACGCCATTTTTTCTGCACAATTCACATCCAGAACAAGAGCAATCTAGATCTACTGCCCACTTCACTCAGAAAAAGAATGAAAGACGAAAGGAATGAGAGATTTCATTGTCTATACAATTTTTTATAGTCAATACATGAAGATGGAAGGTAAATCACATGGGATTAAAGATAGCAGGCAAAGAGTCACAGTACAGAGATCAGTTTACACAACAAAGCAGTCACCTAAGAAAGTTTAAGGAAAGAAGAGGTGATACACTCCAGGTACCAACAGTCAGACTCGTAGTGTGCCCACAGGAAGCCTTCTTACTCATGTGCATTCCTGTGTCAGTACAGGCAACAACTGTACCTACTTGGGACAGAGAGCATGCACAGAGAGGTTGTCAATGAAATCCTGCCTCTGACTCCAGGCAAAGGAGAAACAGCAGAGAAGACCATATACCATTTATAGAGGGAACGACCAACGTCAGACCCCTCATCAGAAACCACCAGAAACCCATCTCCATGCTCATCTCTAGCATGCACTTGCTACAGGCCTGTGACCAGGGGTAGTGGCTCCTGAGCCCTTACCTGCCCTGAAGCTCCCATCTGAGCAGCCTGGGCCTGAGCTGCCTGCACTGCTGCCGCTGCCTGCTGCTGCTGCTGCTGCACCAGCTGAGCTCTTACCTTGAGTTTGAAAAGAAAAAGCAAAGTAAACATACATACATACATGATTAGGGTATGACACTTCTGTTTCGATTAGATTCACCATGATTCCCATAAAAAAAGGTGTAGAGACATGATCAGCCTCACAGACTAGAGGTTTTGAGGTTTCTCAGTGAAAACAAGTTCCCATGTTTATAACATTTAGAACAGTTTTTCCATAGGCTGCACACCCAATTCAGTTTCTTCTTGCAACTTCTTCCCTGTATTATCAGGTCTTCTATGACAGTACTAGATACTTAACTTTCTGGCAAACACTTAACCACACATGTGGGTTTTTTCCCCTCAAGCCAATGACCAGCATTTCAAATATTTATACATTCATTACAACTTTCAGTGTGGCAAACATGGTGTTTAACTATTCCTAGCTTAACTGGTAGGAGTACAAAGTGGACACATCAACTCATCCATTTCCCAAGTGTGGCTGACACTCCACTCCTCCCCAGCAAGGCCCAAAGAAAAACAGGTCTGAGCTTTGGCTCAACAGCACATATGGAGCCCCAACAGAAATGACTGTAGCAGTTCAAACAGCTGCACCGTTAAGAGGATGACCCAGCAAGGGGTTCAACAGACTAAAACTATTGTCTTGTCCACATTCTCTTCAAGGCAGGAACAGACAGTATCTTAAACTGTGACCAAAACCTCTAAAGAAGGCAGCAGAAGCCAAGCCAGCATGCTGGAGAGCCAGCACTGGCTCCAGTCAAATGCACTGGGCACTCCAAAGCACTTGCTCATGTTCTGGAACCACAAACATCATGGAGGTAATTTTTCTTCAACCAGAGTTTGTTTCCTTTTCTTTTTTTCACTTGTCCATTCAAGAGTAAGACAAGAAATTATTTTTTAAATATTAGCTGGATAAATGGTTTTCACAGATTTCCAGAACTCCGACTCTTAGGCACAAAACTGTTCTCTACTGGCAGGCCCAGACACAAACCTTTAAACACCCTGTACACATAACAGGCTAGCTACAGAGGTCTTAACAAGTTATGGTTTTCCTACTTCATTATTAGCAAAAATCAAATATATTTTTTATTTCTCTGGAGGATCATGACAAACCCACAATATCAGTTGGTCACCAGCCCTTACCTGCATGGCTTTTAACTGCTGTGGTGTAAGAGTAACAGGCATAACCTGACTGGGAATTTGTCCTGAGATTGCCTGTGGCTGAGATACCATGGGCTGGGGCTGAGGCTGGGATTGTGGTGGAAGTTGAGACTGTTGTGCCTGAGCAACCTGTTGTTGTTGTTGCTGCTGCTGCTGTTGCTGCTGTTGTTGCTGCTGCTGCATCTGTTGTATCTGCTGTTGCATGACTTGTTGAGGTGGCTGCTGCTGTATCTGTTGTGGTGGTATTTGTTGCTGCTGCTGCTGCTGCTGTTGCTGCTGCTGTTGTGCCTGTATAGCCTGTGCCTGCAGCTGCTGCATTTGGGCAATCCGCTGCAGTTGTTGCTGCTGCTGTTGCTGCTGCATCTGAAAAGCAGGAGAAGCCAGGATGCTCAAGCTTCCAGCAATGCAACAGCAGGCTTGTTTTTATAGTATAAACCAAGAGCAAACAGAATCCTAATACATCAGGCTGACGTTTTAAGCCCAAAGAGAAAGCCCAACCTTTTTATCCACTCACTTTTCATATACCTCAACCCTACACAGTGCTACATCTCATAGTTTTGACATTACAAGCTTTCCTCACTACTAAAACAATTTTCAAAAGCAAAGGTGAAGTGCATCAGCTTCTCCTGTACAAATGGGCTTAGACACACTTCTTCAAATGTAACCACCCTTTACCAAAAACTGCACAAGAATATGACAGCTGAAGTCTCCTCGGCTGCTTTTGTGCCTAATATATATATATATATATATATATATACATATATATACAGTGTCTATATATATATATATCTTGTGCATGGCACACATTTTTTAAAGTGGCAACATGTTATTCACACAATGACAAAACAGCCACTATTGCTACAGTAATTCAAATGCTGTTCTTTCCCACATACCTATTCTTGTCAGAATGAAAGACAATCCTGACATTTATAGAAAGAAAGAGACAAAGATTTCAATTTTCTATTGTTATGACAGAAGAAAGCAATGAAACATCTGTTAAGGCTTTCCTCCAGGATGTAATATATTGCTGTCAATTAACTTGCCAACCTGAAGCCCTACTCTGAAGTGGAAAAGTGCTGGTAACAGCTGATACTCTACTTCCACATAGGCCAAGCTTCACTTGACAAGTAACCCATCACAGATCACCTCATTTGCCATTGTAGCTGTTTCTCATCACCTGCTGTTGGTTTTGCTGCTGCTGCATCTGCAGTTTCAGCATGTGCTGCTGCTGCTGCTGGACAGCTTGCAACTGCTGCTGTTGCTGCTGCTGCTGCTGTGCCACCGCAGCGGCCGCTGCCTGCTGCTGTTGGACCTGGAACTGCTGCTGCATGGCTGACTGCTGGGCCTGGAACTGCTGCTGCTGCAAAGCCACCTGCTGCTGCTGGAATTGCTGCTGCTGCTGCTGTTGCTGCTGGGCAATCTGCTGGAGCTGAAGTTGGTCTGAAAAGAAAGCAGACTGTACTGAAAACATGAGACTGAAACAGCGCGAGTTAACATCCTTCATTAGCAGCATGTGTTTTTGCCTCCTAAAATGGATGAGGCACATTAACAGCAGAATGAATGACACTTTCTACTACCAACTTCTAATTCACACATTGAGTCAGCAACCGAGGCAAAGACAGTAAAAATGTGCAGGAGGAAATGTGCACCAAGGTCACCAGGAGAAGTACTGTACTATAGAAAACATAGGTGAGCTCTACAAAAACAATGTTCTGAAGCTGACAACAGTAGGATGAAAGAATTTGCTCATACAACAGCTAGACTGTTCCTCACTATACTAAGGAAGGCATTTATCCCATTAGGTAGCAGTACTTAAAATCAACTCTTCCCAGCAGTTCCCTTGGCTGATTTAGCCAGAGGTATGACATCTCTTCAGCACCTTTTCCTTGGGGAAAGGAGTTTTTACTGAAAAGCTGACATAACAATTTCAGTGGTTGAAGCAAACCGAGCACTTACTCTGCTGAGTAGCTGTAGAGACACCAGGCATACCATGAGGGGCCATTCCCGAGGTTCCAGGAGGCTGCTGCTGCCCTGGGAGACTCATCTGTTGTCCCATTGGACCAAGGCCACTCATCCCACTCATGGGTGCTCCTTGAGCCCGGGAAGCCATGCCCATCCCAGGCGCCCCTGCTGCGGGACCCCCAGTTAGATTCTGCAGGGCATTCATCGGATCTACAAAGAAAACAGTTACCAATATGCAGCTAGCCATGCAATTGTCTGCCCAAAATCCTCTGTTCTCCATCCTCCACTCTCTGATCTGTTGGCTTCAGACCATGACTAGATCCAACACCCCAGGAAACTAAGATTCACTGCTCTGCCTGTGAGAGCATATCTTCTGGCATATCTTTGACTCTCTGTACATAGAGTGGAGATGATTCAAAGTGCTTCAGAGTTCCAAAGTCCCACATAGATTCTAAATACATTAGAGAAAAGGAACTTATTTGCCACCTCCACATTTACACACAAGTCAAAACAAGCTGCCAACAAAAGTCCATGAGGATATACAGCTTATAACCTCAAACACCAAGAGGGTCCCACCGTGGATCCTCTTCAAATGGAGAAGCAATGCTCAGACCAGAGGAAGTACTTTGCTATACAGTTCCACCTCTAACATCACTTTCATTATGCAGTGGATAAATTCAGTGCCTTTCAAGACAGTTTTCATAATCTGAATCCGGGGCACACAGAAAAGTGAAGTCAAAGAGGGAATGGCAATTCAAGAGGGCAAAACAGAACACAGAGTGCAGAAGCAGCATTAATCAGGTAAAGAACACAGCACCCCCTCTTTCTCCAGCAGCATGTAATATTCCAGCTAGGGAATATACAGATGCTTTCTTAGTACTCCACAGCCCTGATTCCTAAGCTGTTCTGTTTAGAAGTGGGGAGCACAGGGGGAAGGAAGGACACAACAACAACAACAGCAAAAAAAAAAAAAGGAACTCTTACCACTGACTGAGGCTTGAGATTTCTTATTGTCTGAAAAGAAAAAACAATTCATCATCTTTGCCAGTCTTGTCACACACAAATTTGGCTCTTTAGATATGCTCTCTACAAGAAATACATTCACATAATTTAAAAAATAAAAAAATCACTATCTACTGTAGTTCTAATAAAACGCATTAAGTCAATTTGGTAACCAAAATGCTACATAAATAATGGAAAGAAGGCAAAAATACAGGAAAAATTAGGAAGGAAGAAAAGTAGTATAAACAGTAGTTTAAATAATTTTTCAAATATTTTTCAATTATAGATGATGTGTAAAAGAAACAGTATTTAGAAATTAGGCATGCATATTACAGAAAGATTTTTAAAGCAACTTGTGAAGAGTCACACGAAGAAACCCTAAAATTTACTTTTTTTTTTTTTTTTGGAGGATGTGATGAGCAACCCCATGACTGAGGAAAAAAACAAGCCAAAACTAAAAAAATCACTTACGGATATCTCGAAAATGGATAATGAGTCTGGCCACAAGAGAAAGATATTCCTCCTAAAGGTGAAAAATGAGTATTTCAGCATAAGAAATAAAAACAGAGCAGCCATTACTTTCTGGTTCTTCCTCAACATAGTGGATTTTACTTTGCAGTGTCTGTGGGCTTTTCAGAGCAGTTCACTTCCAAGAAACAGTCTGTTTATTAAGTCAGAATATTTTTACTAATAGGTCATTGCAGTTGAAGGTACAAGAAGGCCAAGAAGCCACAAAATTCACAGGAAAGAACCTCTCTGACAGTTACACTAATAGGATCACAGTATGTGAACATTATAAACCAATACATCCATTTTCCAGTTCTTATCCACTATAAGTCATTTTCATAAGGATTAAACCTTGCTTTTACTTCATGTACTGGCTTATTTTAGTCCTTGAATTATGTCACACTCACACTACCTTTTCTTAAGCTAAGTTCATATTACAAATACAAGTAAAATAATAACTCTGAAGACTAACATGATAGAAATGTCAGAAGTGAAAAGACAAATATTCTTTGTAGTATTTTATTACTTACATGTTCCTCATAACATGTAAGAAACTGCAGAGGGCTGAGAGAGCCTTCCTGCCCATGAAACCACCAACTCACCAGTGAGGATGCCAGCCACAGGCACAGATCTGTGACATCAGCATTATAAAAATTTTCACCAAGACAAGTTCTATCCCAAACGTGGCTTGTTTGGAGACAGCAACAGTATCCAGTTTCTCCTAACACAGCTCCAGGGAAGAAGTTTATGTTTTGGCAAAGTGTAGAGTTGTACACTATTGCCAGAGTTTCACAGAGACCACGGTGCTTGCCTTGGTGTTACTCTTGGCAGAGCCTTTTCATTGATATCCCAGGTTTTTCTGACCATCTACTGGTCACATGGAATGGTGCTACACTGTAAATAAATGAAATTCTACACAATTCACTACACACAAACATTCAGGTAAGAAAAGTGCAGTTCCATATGTGCATTAAATGCTGCAGCATCAGCAAAGCTGTCTTGCACTAAGTCCAGTTTGATGCATATATTGGATGCAGAACACCTCACTTTCCCTCAGGGTAAAAGAAGCACATATAAATCAAAATTTCAAGTAACTCTGTACTACAAGCAGAGACAGTTAACTAAGTGCACTGGCTTTGCTGTTTTTGCAATTTGTTCCAAACTTCTTTGGACATGCAATAACTTCTGGAAACAAATAGAGATGCTTTACCCTTGTTTTGGCCTTCATAAACACATGACTCTCCATATCTTTGCTGGATTTATTATGGGCAACACCAGCTTTCCTCATAGCTTCATCACTGAAAAAAAAAAAGGAAAAAACAAGGCATTAATTGAGGACATCAGTAAACACTTTCTCATTTATAGATATAAAACAAACAAACAAACAGAACCCCAAACCAACACTACATATGATACTTAAAATCACCACCCTTTAAAGTTTCTTCAAATGATGGAGAACAAAGCCAACATCAATATTCTTTGCAGAAATTCAAGAACAACAGCAAGGCAACTCATTATTTTACCACCTTGACAAAATACCAGGAGTTGTTCATTTGAGGAAAACTGATTGACAAGATTAATGTTTTCCATTTTGGGGGAACAATTTCCCCTGAATTTCTACCAGGTCCCATGCAGCAGGAATGGTGCTTGCACAAGCAGTAAGCTGGTTCAGCTTCCTGAATTAACTCAGTAACAGCCACAGAAGCGAAGAGCAGATGGTACAGCCTTAAAATGCAGGAGTTTAGGCTGCCACAACTCATTCCCTTTCCTCACAAACCAGCAGCAGGCAGCTGACCTGCTGCAGCCTGCAAGGTAGAACACAGTGAACATCCTACCTGCTGCAGGGCTCTCATGGTAACCTGTTGGTGTGGTCTGGCAGACACTAAAAAAATGCTGCTTATTTATGAAGTTACTTAAACTGAAGCTGAATCTGAACATAATGCAGGACAACTATTCCTCCATGGGCAAACAAGCCTTAAAGTGAACTGTTCCTGAAGGAGCTCTGCTGCAGAGGAAGAGGCTGCATCCAATTCTATATTGACAGTCCCTTTTTTAATGCTTTCCCTTTTGGGAAGGCTGCCTCTAAATCCACATTACCCTCTGAATCCTCCTTAACTTCCCAGTTCCAGTACAATGGCAATGCCTTTCATGTTGAGAGCACCAAAAACTGAGCTGGCAAAAAGAGAAGACAAAGATTATGCAGAGGCAAGTAAAGAAAGTAATGCAGGTAGTACTCAGTGGCTGTGATACAGACAGTGATCAGTGTGGAACTTGGTACCAGGAACTTGGGAGACAAAAAGAAATTATCTACTTTTACATGTATCTTCCTTTTCCTTTTGAAGTTATAGAATATGAAAGACATGTTATTATGACTACATTCTCATTACCAAAAATGCTACTCCAAGCTGTCCATGTCCTGTCTGTTAGCATTCCAATAAAGGTTTAGACTAGGAGGAAGAAAAAACACACAACTCTTTCCTTGTTTACACATTTAACTGCAATCAACATAAAAATATTTACATTAAAAGACTAGGAAAGTCACTTAAAAAAAAGTCATAGCTTTAGCCCAGAGTTAAGGATACCAAATAATGTATGGTATCTTTATGGAACACTGAACTTGACAAAATTCTGAAAACCAGATGGTACCAGACAATCCAACCTTCATCTGCCTCATAAGCACTTAGTAAATGCATCACAAGATGTGCATGAACACTCTGCACTTTGGATTTCATGCACAACACTCAAAAGTTGTGGTTTCAAAAGACGAAGCATTCCACACCAACACCAGCTTCAGGAATTCCCCTCCATTCCCAAGAAGCTTGTTTCCAGCCCAAATATGTGCAACCACTCACTAAGGCCAACTGGTCTAGCTGAAACATCTTGCAAAACACGTTCTCCTTCAAAACTACACCAGTTCCCTCCCCAGCTCACACCATGACTGCATGAATCAGTTGTTCCAACGAAACACGAGGGCAATGAGTTCCAGGGCCAACACCACACTAAGACATGTAAAATCACCACATGCTGCTTTGTGAAATAGAATATTTGATCACTATGACACTCAGTTAACGAAACCTTTCTTGCTTGAAACAGCAATGGGTGGGCGGGGGGGAGTGTGCTGGTGTGCTGTTAGCCACATGCATCCACATTACAAGGTTTAAAAACCTCAAAGTAAAACTTTATTCCCTTGATCTTGTGTGGTTAACTGTCTCACACAACATTTCTGCTTGCTACAGATTGGGCATAACAAATGTTATCAATAGCAGCCCTCACTGCAGGAATACCCCTGTAACACACCCCAGCAGAAGGCCCAAAGCAGGAATCACTCACTACTTTATTCACACAGTTGCTTGACAGAGTACAAGGCCTGAAGGTCCCAGGTCTCCAGCACAACTCCTTCAGCTACACGAGGAATGCAAAGGACCATCCAGCCTCCCTAATGCCTTGTTCTAGCATTACCTTTCCTTCCAGTTCTGCAGAGATGAAAAAACCCTTCTCACTACACACAGAATCATCCCTTCACAGCTTCACAAACATATCCTCCAGGAGAAGGGATTCCCTCTGGCAGAGGTGACGAGGTAAGAAGCCACCCCTGCCAAGTCATGCTGGTACAACTGTCTGTGTGGCTTTGCCATCAGCAGTACTGAAGAACAAGTAAGGTTAAAAATAACCACTTTTCCTGAGTTATTTTTAACTTTGAGAAATTTCCCTATCAGGTTCACTGCATGGCAACCCAAACACTTGAAATGAAGACATATTGCAGTAGCTTCTTCAGTTCACAGTTGTGTCAAAATAAGAATTTATAAATAACTAATCCCTCACTTCCTCTACACTCCCAGGAAGGGAGAAACATCTGCCCTCTTGGACTTTTCTGCCTGAATTCTCATCAGACAACCTAGGCTGGAATATAAAATTGAGGCTGCTTTATGAACCGGTTTTGTGATGTGTTTCATGGAGAGCAACAAATGCAGACAACCTCCCTTTTCTTATTTTTCCCTTCATCACTCAAAAAACTTCAGCTGTTCCACTCTTTTTCTGCCTGCTCGTTCCTCAGTCTCCTCCTTTCATGTACTCTCCACATTCTCATCTCTATTTCTGCTCAGACATTCTTTCTTCTCACTCAGCTGAGCCACTAACTAAAGTGAGAAGATACAGATGAAAACTTCAAGCAAAAAAACAAACACAAAATTAATGGAACACCCCACAACCTGAGTTACATCCCTTTTCTACACTCAACACAATCCCCTTCTAACACAGCCTGGAAGCAGCTTGGGGCAGGAACTGTACACAACCACAAACTGGGTTTACCACCACACAACCCAGATCAGATTTGTCCTTCAGGCATCACCAACATTTAAAAACACATTAAGCAAAGGCCTTTAGGAAGGAGACTCCCATGGCACCAGTAAGTACCAGCTCTATGTAAGAGCCAGGATAAAGGGGTACCCTGCAAGCACAAGTGTATATCCACACTCCTACATCCCTGCTGTCTCCTGGAACATCCTGGGAGAAGCCAAAGCTGCTCCTCAGCCCCAGTCACCTGGGCTCAGGCTTTTCCTTGATCTTGGAAGTCCTGCTTGGGTCTGCAGTCACACAGAGCCCAGTACTGAAGAGGTTCTTGGGTCATCAAAGGCACAATTCTCTCAAATAACCCAATCATACACACTGACCATTTACACAGGACACTTATTCCCCACAGTATCACTGAAATGTTCACTCACATGTCACTCTTAAAAAGAATAACAAACCAAAACCCCAAAATCTTAAATTCAGTGTTGCAAAGGAAACTCAGGCGTGAAACTGCAACAAATTAAGACTTCTGTACCCAGCAGCATAACAAGGCACTCAAAAGGAGTTATGTGAATGGTTCCACATTTAATTTATCATGTTTATTTCCTCAAAGTTACACAGCATTCAAGGGTAGTTTTGTCTGCTTGTTTTGATGAAGCAGCAGAAGAGGAGGAGAAGCAATGAGGGATTCACCTGAGAACACTAATGATTTTACAGAAAGTTTAGAAAGTGAAACATCAGTTCTGAGCACCTAGAAAGTTTGAGTGGCTTTGACAGATACACATCATCATTACTTCTTTAAAGAATACTGTAACAGTTTAATTCGGGAACAGCACCTTAACTGAAGTAAAACTACAGGCAGTCAAACAGGAAATTGCTTACATATCTTAAAAAAAAGACTGTCAATTTTTAGATATTGATCCTTATAATCAACAAATTAAGGTCAAGCTTTCCAAACGTACATAAATTAGGACTTCAACATTACTTTAGAAGCAACGTAACAACCACCTTGCACAGGACAGAAGAGCCTTCCATAAAGTAAGAAAAGACTGCAGAGCAGCAAAGTAATTCAAGTAAAGCACTTGTTTCACAACTGAAAGGGCAACGAGTTGAACTTTACATTAAACCACCAGCATTTTTATCTCACATTTGCTCTAAAAAATCAGAAACAAGCCCATAACAGGCGTTTTCATAAAACTGATTATGTCAAATTTCCCACCACCAAGGACACCGCCAAAATCGAAGCCCTAAAGCAGATGCTGTCAAGCAGCACTGGGAGCCGGTGCTTCTGGGGAAGAGCAAAGCGCAACGGGAGGAGGATAGGAGAAATTAAGTAAAAAAACAGTCTGAGCAAATCCTGGTACCGGCCCGGGGGAGAGGAAACAGCGGGGTCCGGGCACGAAGCCAGGCAGCCCGGGGAAGGCCGGAAAGGCCTCGCAGAACAGCGCAGAGAGGCGGGACACGGCCCCAGGGGCGGCGGGAGCCCCTCCGGCGGGGGCCGAGGCCCGCGCGCAGCCCGCCCGGCACCGGGCCCGCGGAGCGCACTCACATCTGGCTGACGAGCTTCTGCCGGAAGTTGGTGCTGCGCCAGTCGGTCTCGGGCCCGGTCACGTCCATGGCTGCCGCGGGCACGGAGGGCCGGGCACCGACCGCGTTCCCCCCGTCCCGCTCCGCTCCCTCCGCCGCCGCCGCGGAAGCGCCGCGCGGCCACTTCCGGAGCGCCGGCGGCCCCAGGGAAAGGAAGTCCCGGCGCGAGCCCGGCCACCTCTCGCGAGGGCCGGCGCGGGGCTCGCTGGGAGATGTAGTCCGGCCCGAGGGCACAACAGAGCCCGGCCCCGAGGGTCGCGGCCGCCGCAGCCTCCGGTCCCGCCGCAGCCCCCGGGGCACCGGCCCGGCGCTCCTCGGGCACGGCCGCGGCACCGCCGCACACCGCGGGCGCCACTGGGGGCCGCCCCCACCGCCCGCCCCGGTTCCGGCCGCCGCCGCCCCTCCCTCGGCCGGCGGGTTCCGGGTGGCCCATGAAGGCGGAGGCGCCGCCGCCGCTCTCGGTAGGTGCTGCGGGGGGAGCGGGGCCCCGGGCAGGGCTCCCCTGTGCGTTCCCCCAGGGGGCCCAGCGAGCCCCCCGGAGCCTGTCCCGGCCCCGCTCGCCGCGGGGGTGCCCGGGGGGGTAACGGGAGGGGTGCGGGGGCAACGGCCGGGGCGGCGGCGGGGCCGGGGCAGGGCGAGCACCCCCCTCACCCCGGGCCCGGCAGCCCCTGGCCGTGGTCCTGCCGCCCGCACCAAGCCCCCGAGGAGCCGGCTGGGCGAGGCCGGGCCCCGCGTACCTGTGCGGGGCTTTGCCCCGGGCTGCCTCACCTGCCGGGGGTGAGCAGGTGGGGCCACAGCGGGGCTCGGGACCTGCAGAGGCGTTTGCAACTCGGGAATAGAAAGTAAGAGCATAACTGTGTTCCAGCTGGCTTTCACCTCCTCGTCACAGGGTTGGTGGAGAGCCAGAGCCAGGCTGCCCCTTTCAGTGATGTGCAAGCCCAGGTGTCCCTGATGGGGCAATGTCAAAGTTAGGGGGTAGAACCTCACAGATCTCGGCATTAATGTGGCGAAGAACGTAAACAAATCTGTTTGATAGAGAAATCAGAGCTGAAACATGCTGGAAGAGGCCTTTGCTATCTTCCAGGTCACTTAATTGTTCTACTTGTAACTACTTTCTAAGTTTTTTCCTCCTTGCTTTTTAGAATATTAAAGAGTCGTGATTGATTTAAGCAGTTCAACAAACCAGGTTCGAAACATTGCCAGCTAGCCGAGTCTCTCAAAAGTCATTGAACATATACTGCTGACTAATTTATAAACTGTCAATTTTGACGTAGTTGTTACTTAGTAAAGAGTTTAATCTCATAGAAGCCTCATTAAAAAAAAAAATGTTCTTATTATGGAAAAGACTTTAGGATTTCTGAGGGGCTTTCTAAGAATTCTTGGGATAATTAAAGCAATTCTGTCAGAAGAACATGTTCCTGAGATTTCCCAGGTCTCTCTGGACATATCACTAAACACTGTCTCCTGAGTCTGGAAAAAAATGGAACTTTATTGGTAGGCCAGTTGTTTTTAGGGTAAACACCTTGTCTAAATATTGTTGGTTAACAGTCCTTCCTTCAAAGACAAGCAGCTGCTCCATCCAAAACAGAACATGTCTATTGAAAGACTTAGATGACAAAATAAATCTTGTTTCAAGATTAGGAACAAGAAAAAAAAAAGAAAAAACAGAGTAAAAGACAATCAAACTGTTCAAATTATGCTGAAGCCATAAGAGAAAGCATTTTAGCACTGTATTAATTTTTGTTCTCCTTATGGCACTTTTTGTTAGCACTTGGGCCACAGGCCACCTCCCAAAATGCACAACAGAAAACATTACAACTCGATGAATTTGGGTAAGTTGCAAACTTGTTATGGGTAAGGCAAAACATTCAGCTTAGAAAACTCCCACTTTTCAGGTTATGCTAGGGAAAAATCATTTAAAATATCCATATATTTAAATATAGATATGTTTCATGGTTGTTTTGCCATATACACATTAAATATGAGATGTTTTAATCTTGATATGTCTTAGAAATAACTCGTAATAGGCTTGGGGGGGGAAAAAAACCCCAAAACCAAAAAAACCCCAGGTGTTTTCTGAAAGGAGTGAATGCCAAAACTTGTGAGTCAGCGTAGTTCACAAAAGCAGTTTGCCAAGTCACACCTTTTGGTTTCCTCCCACACTCCAACTCTACTACTAATGCTGGAAACTGAAAATGGCTCAGAAACTCAGCCCAGAGTGTGTGATTGCATATTTCCATTAGTGATGTGAAGGAAGATGGTGGGCACAGACCAGGGGAAGCGTGTCATCATTTGAGCATTTAAAAGTAATGCTGAGATATGATGTACTACCAGCTAGCCTCGTTTCTTTCCTTTTCAGGGGATCTTGGTCAAAAGGAGTTGTTTGGGTTGTTTGTTGTAGTTGTAGAAGGTTCCTAAAATGAAATATTTCAGAAAGAAGATCTATTTTGTGCAGTTGTGAATGCATAGAGAGGGACAATTCTGAAAGAAGCAGTACTGAGCAAAGCTTCTGCCTTTCCTTCACCCTCCTTCTCTTCCATTTTTCTTCAAATGCATGAAACTGGCTTAAGTCTTGTCTACACATAATTGTGAACTCAATCATCGTCTGTGTACCAAACAGTCTCACAAGTGCCCATTACAAATTATCATGTAGTTGGTGAATTATTCCACTATTTGCACTCCAGTTAGAACAAACAATAGTTTTGCTCTTCATTTTACATTGATTGTGCCATCACATTTGTTTTCTGAGCTGTTCTGGCAGGCACCCAGCTGCCTCCCCTTTCTGCACACTCCCTGCCTAGCTGATCTGTTTGTGTGACCCCTGCCCCGTTAAAATGTGGTACATAGCCAGGTTCTGCCTCTTTGCATCTGCAACCCCTCAGACTCAGCATAACCAGCATTTTGCTCTAATCTTGCATATTATCTTGTCAGGCTTTCAGCTGAAGCCTGCTTTAGATCCTAACCCTTGTTACTCCCTAGGGAGAAATGAAGATGTGGGAAGCCTTAGGGCACAGATATTAAATTTCCTCCAGTGCACTACGACTTTTAAGGGCCCTAATGTATTTGGATCACAACCAGCACAACACACTGGTTGTTCTGTGTTAGGAAAAAGCTATGATGAATATGGCCTGCAAGAAAGAGGACAGAGCTACAACTGAGGGGCATCAGCAGACTTTGAGAGTGGACCAAGAAGAACTACATAAATTTCAATATCAAAAGCAAAGTCATGCACCTGGGTCAGAGTAACTCCATATACTGGAGACAAGCCTGGCTAGAATTCAGCTTTGAAAGAAGAGAACCTGGGGCTCCTGAGGAGCAGCAAGTTGAATATGATTCTTCCAACAGGGCCCAGCTTTGCACTAGGCTGTGTTAGCAAGAGCACAGCCAGTAGGTCATGTGAAATTATTATTTCCCACTCTATTCAGTACTTATAAGCCAAAAAAATTTGAATACACCAGGCCCAGCTTTGAGCTCTTACTGAAAGAAAAACCTGAGAGTTCAGTGGAGGAACCACAGGGGGCAGGAGCACATACAAGAAGATACAAGCACATGCAAGGCAAGAACACTGGGTTTGTACAGTACAGGGAAGAAAAGGATAAGGTCAGAGCCAGTTGCCATTTTTTAAGCTAATGGCTGCAGGAAAACAGAGCCAAACTCTCCTCTGTGGTGCACAGTGCCAAGGGTGAGAGGTGAGTGTCACAAATAGTAGGGAAAAAAAATCAGATGGATAAAGAAAACAAATCTGGTGGTTAAACAGTCAGATTTCTGATTATTGACAGGGATGGAGAGTTTGCAGTCCACAAGGCTCTCAACATCCTGACCTGATTTTGAAGGTTTCCCTGCTTTGAGCACAGATTGGACTAGAGAACTCCTAAGTTTCTTTCCAGTCTAATTTATTCCACAATTTTAAGAAAGCATGGGACCCCCACCAAGCTTGAGCCACCTGTCCATATGGCAGCAAGCTAAACAGATTTGGATACCCGACACCAGCAAGCTCTGGTTTATTTTGGGCACAGCTGATGCACAAGAAAATATCACTATCTGCGTAAAACACCTCTTTGTAGAGATGTAACTGACAGCCACGAGCTCTTGAATACAAAAATGTCTCAAGTTTCCATAGAAACTAACTTGGATAATCCTTCCTGCATCCAGCCATTTCTCTACAGTAGAGAATCGAGGCCGTCAGCACAACTTTACCAGAAAACCACCCCCAAACCCACACATGCACCACACAATAGGAGCATCACTCTGTGACCTGGATGCTGGTCATAGAAGGGGTGAATACTTGGCTGGGTGTGTATCATACCATGTAACACCAATATCAGACTTCAGCACTCTGGATTATCTACACTGAGTTTAAAGCACAGCATCAGTGCACAGACTATGTCTCACCAGAAAATAAAAGCTGTGTTAGCTATAATGGCAGCACAGAAACTCTGTGGTGTAACAACTGCTCTGCACTTAAACATTCAGGTAGGACAGACTGAATTTTGCCATGCCATTAACTTTTCCCCTCCACGCTTCTAGCTGAGCTACTCCATTCCTATACCTTTTGTTCTTAAAAGAAGCAGATTTTCAGTGAGCACAAGAGCAAGCCAGCATACCAGTTTCTCACCATTTTGCCATTTGAATGATCAAGCTACAATCAATTCCCTAAATTCCTCCTGCCCAATGCCAAATTCCTCAGTCATAAGCCTCATACCTTTGTTGTGAAAGCAAGTATTCTATTGTTAATCAGAGAGGGGATTTTGTTTTTAAAAAATTACCCACAACTCTTTTCATGGGCAGTTAAGGAGTTATTTCTATTTAATAATCAAAAGCCTTCTACTTTTTTTAATGCCAGTAGTCTGCAGAAGCATGTTGTGGAAATGGAGTTTGACTACAAGACAATCCCACAGAGCTACCAACAAGTCACTGAGATACTGTAGCTTCCACTGTGTCCACAGCTTATTACCAGAGACCACTAGTGAGACAGTGCACTTTATATATAATACAGGAAATAGAAGGAAGTACTAGAGTTCCTTCATGGTCCCTCCATTGCAAGGCATGGCTGCCTTCTCTTCATTCCTAAATGGAATCCAGACACAGAATACAGAAAATTTCAGTCTACTGAA